AACCTAACCTAACCTAACCTAACCTAACCTAACCTAACCTAACCTAACCTAACCGTGAGCATATATTTCATAATTTTTACAAGAAGAGGAAAAATTTTATATTTTTAAAAATTATTTTTTTATATAATAATTCAACGTAATCTAACTCTATTTAACCGGGTACTCTTTGCATTGAACCAATATTTGTTTTAAACAACGGAAAACTTTTTATTTATTTATTTGCACATTAGAATTTTAAACATTAATAAATTATTTTATTTTTATTATGGTCCCTAAGTTTACATTTGTTTGACTTGTTTTTATGGTTCTACTATACATTCTATATAATAACATGAATATTGAATTATGTAATTTAGAATTAATAATTACAATAATTGATTTGTGAATATATTATATGATTAGACTTTTTCACTGATGAGCTCAGCGTTTGGGGAAATTCGTTGTGAATTTGGATCATTGGTTTCAAATTTACTATAAATTGCTTTAACAATAGGGCTCTGACTGTTTGTTTGCGAGCCTGAGATAGGATTGGTTGAGATGTTGATTATATTAGAGTTATTGTGAGATTGTGTGCCGTATTTAGGTTTAGGAAGATGTCTATTCTTGAACTCCATTTGACAAATCTTCATAATCTCCACCTGAGACGCGAGTTTCTGGATCTCTTCCTTGAGCTCTTCATTTTCCTGATACAAGTCAGTGGTCTCTTCGTGAACGAGTCCCACACCGTTCAGTGAGAACGACGCCGTCACTCCTCGCGCCCGAACCCTATTGTCCCATAAATCTCCCTCACCTTTGATTACTCTGTAGAACTATATCAATACAATCATATATGATATATCAATCATTTATAATATTTCCCAATATTTGCTATACCTTTGGACCAAATATCAATATAACAGTAGTCGTTGTACTCATTTGTGTTCTTATAAAACCAAAAAAGTATTTAATGTCTGGTCCGGCGTTCGGCAGAATCACTATACTATATATTGTCATCAAATGTGTTAATCAATTATTTGGTCATTTAAATCACTTACTGAATAAATATCATGGAAATGTTAACGAGAGTTATGTTATATATGGCGTATGTTATATATTTTGCTTCATTGAAAAACGATTCAGCATTTCTGACGTTAAAACAGACTTTAATTCCCCACAATAGAAATACAAGTTCACCTATAAATGCATAGAATGAAACCATCTAGATGATAATATTATGTATATAATGTATGCAAACCAATGGCAAGGCTGTGGTCCCACCAGTTGTAATCGCATTGCTTGAACTTGAGTCCATTCCAATCAATCAAATAGATGGCTTCTGGAGGAGCACTGATGGTCCAAGTGCTCAGATATATGGCCATCACTAACAGGATTGGGAAAAGCCATTGAAGAAGCTGTTTGTCCGTCAATTTGAGTTTATGAGCCGATTTCACTCTATATGTCAGCGAAACTCTCCACGTCTTTAATAGTAATGCAGAATATGTGACACAAAATCCTAAATGTCTCGTCCATTTGGTCAATACACACGTCCACACATCAAGTACTGGAAATATTGCCGCAGTCTTGCCATTCATCAACATTTTTAGACAACATTTTTTACATCAATACTATATTAATCCAATTACTTAAATAAATATACAATACCTCTGAATACATGATAGAACAGCCCAATAATGTGATGCACAAGAATACGGGTGATGCAACTTTTATTACTTTTAGTTTTCGAAATCTGTAGATATAAGTTCCCAAAACGACCGTAAATATGATACAAAGTAGGGTTATTGTGAGCAGAGATATCCTAAACGCCCAGTTGTAAGATGAAAGACACGGCGAATCATTTTGACAGACATCACAGCCGTCGGCACATCTCTTGCAAAAGAACATGTAGTCATATGACGGGCTGTTGACATCATTTTAAACATAAGTATAATACATGTATTATTCATATAAATATTTTGATAAATACTTTTTGCCATTGCTTTTGTCTTCAAAGGCCTGCTCCACAACAGATCCGTTGAACATTGGACCCAAATTAGCGACCGCTGAATGATAGCTAAATTCAATGAAACAGTAATATAGCATAAGTTTCACTATTGATTGCACTATTGATTGCACTATTGATTGCACTATTGATTGTTACAAACCCATTACGACACCGGCATTTGTAACCACCTCTCAACCATCCGACACCTCTTGTAAATATGCACTGCAATTACACAATTCAATAAATTGCAAATCTATTTGATATGAGACTCACTTGACTCGTTTGGTGATGGCATTTATGAGTCCCGGAAAGTGTGAGGACAACGGAATTGTAATTGTGATCGTAATACTCATGTCTTGAATCGCATTGATTAATGTCAGCGCCGGTGATATCAATGTCGGCACTTATTATACCCCGAATCGACTTCTCGACTGCAGTTGAATCCAAGTTATCATTGATAGTGTTTTGTTCGCTCTTCTCTAATATTAAGGCCGTGTATGATATAAACCATAGCTTGAGATCACAGTCAAAATAAACACTCGACCACTCGGACACTGATTCCAATCCCACTAATAATTGTTGTTTCATAAGAAGTTTAATAAAACTTTTGGGAATCCAAGATGTTTCCAAAACAAGCAATTTGTTCATCTCATCAATCATTTGCATATTCTTTGAATCGATTTCAAAATAATGAATATTTAATTGATCTATATTTTGAGTTGATTGAGTTCCGTCATTCATATCATTAATCCATGCGATTCTTAATCGATATATATTGGCATCCATTTGAATCAATTGGTCTAAAGAGCTCCTCATCATAAGGAAGTCATCGCTCTTTGGATTATATTTTGACAGAATTTTCGATAATAATTGTATGCTTTTCCACGTCGTCTCGTATCGGGTATTATTAGTTAGCGGTCGCGTCACAGACAGCATCGCCTCCTTCTCCACCCCCACTAACGTCTCCTCATTCAACACGATTTGCTTCCCATTTGCCGAACACTCGTAGCCCCGACTCATTCGGTCGATTGCCTGCAGAATTGCCTGAGAGTAACACGTAATCACACGTCAGTCTCTTTTTCAAAAACATTTCATACAACAATATACAGTACAATAATGTACAGTAGTATATCTATACAGTAGATCCAATAGACTATTGTAGGTAATAGAGGTGCTAGATACATACCATGGAAGACAATATTTATTCGGTGAATAAAGTTAAATATCTCGAGAACCGCTTAGGTGTCCTAGCAAGATGTCTTCACGGATCTATTAACAGATAGTCTACACTCAAAAACTCCATTCACACTACATGTATGTCCAATAACATGGATATTAAGCAAAGAGAGGTTAAAGTAAAAGTTACGCTTTTAATAAAGTCCATAGAGATTAATTTTAATTATATAAAATTGATAATATTCAATAATAATCTATATGAACTTTTTTAAAAACATAACTTTTACTTTAACCTCATCTTCCTTAATATTCATACTCATTGGACCTATAGATTCAATAGGGTTTTCGAGCTTATACAATATTACACATAAGTATATATTAATAGATCCGTGAATACATCTAGTTGATTGCTTAAGAGGTTTTCGAGATATTTAATTTTATTTACCGAATATTATATTATCTTCCACCGTATATTATATTGTTTGCTAGTTATATAATTCAGACCCCGATATAATGCAGAGAATTTTTATTTGCTGATTATTGCCTAATTATCACATACAGTGACCACATTAATACGGGAGGGGAAGTTGTGGGAGAAGTGATTCTATTGATATTATGTTTATATTATAAACTACGGTATAATTTTCATACTGACAAGCATACTTTTCATTTCACTTGTGAGTTGTAGTTAAAAATAATAAAACTGTTTTATGCTTTCAAACTTGCAAACGAACTTGCTTAGAAACCTTCTTCTATTTGTTAATATACAGTGCAACCTCTCTTGGGGGAACACCTCCTCATAAGGAACGGATTTGAAATCTATGTTGGATTTCCTATACTTATAATGTTAAAATAACCTCTCTTAGGGGAACTTCTCGGTAAGGAATACCTCCCCATTAGGAACTGAATCAGAATATTCTTGCGTTTGTAATGCGATTTCACAGCATATGTAACACTTCTGTCAAACATGCGATTAGTTTTGCACATAATATATATAAATAGTTGTAAAAATCAATATTTACTGAATTCCTGTGTTTCTCTTACTATATATTTAATATGATTTTTAATCTTTAGTGCAGAACAAAGCCATTAATGTTTTTGTTGAAAATATGGTTTTCTTTTTTGTTTTCTTATTATATATAATACAGTGCAACCTCTCTTGGGGGAACTTCTCTTGGGGGAACACCTCCTCATAAGGAACGGATTTGAAATCTATGTTGGATTTCCTATACTTATAATGTTAAAATAACCTCTCTTAGGGGAACTTCTCGGTAAGGAATACCTCCCCATTAGGAACGGATTTATAGAGATTAAGATAAAACTTGCACTCCCCATAAGGAACAAAGATAATCATAAGCACATGATATGTAAAGTATTCAAAATATTCTTAAACCTAAGACTTTAAACAAACATATGTTAAAATAACCTCTCTTAGGGGAACTTCTCGGTAAGGAATACCTCCCTATTAGGAACGGATTTATAGAGATTAAGATAAAACTTGCACTCCCCATAAGGAACAAAGATAATCATAAGCACATGATATGTAAAGTATTTAAAATATTTTCAAACCTAAGACTTTAAACAAACAAATAACACATTTTCATTTGAGATTTCATTCATAAACATTAAACTCATAGTTTGATTATTGAATTATTATATTCAAATGTCCTATTTTATATCCAGAGAAGCATTCGATGATCAAATGTTTGAACAATTGGACAAAATTAAGACTAAATCATTTAATTGTCATTTTAATACAGCTAAACAAATTAAAATTGCTGATTATTTTTAATAATTGATATTATTAATAAACATTTTCAAATATTAATCAAAATAAGACATTTTTAGTCAAACCTCCCTTGGAGGAACCCTCCCTATAGGGAACACTTTTGCCGTGCAACTGGCCGTTCCCTATGGAGAAGTTGCACTGTATTACTATCGATGCGTTGGCATTACATTTGGGGGCATTCATATAAGTAGATCCCAACTACAATACAGTCGCGTTTGGCACATATGGGGTTGGGTGTATTTGGGTTCTTTAATGAGCTTTACAATTGGGTCAATTGCAATTTCATTTGGACTGACAAGCGATATGATCAACAGATTTAACGATCAGATTACCACCATGGTGGCATGTGTTATGGTTATGACCGATATAGGGTACCATGGTCAGATAATGCTAAGCCTATTGTACGTGCAACGCTATGGCTTTACTATGGTTACCATGTTGTTTCAATACCCGATAAAATGTAAATAAATTATTTAAAATACCTCGATATACAAATTATCTAATATTTTAATCCAAAATTATATATAGGCAAATTAAAGATAGTAATCATGGTGCTATTTTGGATTTTGCTGGCGATTATACCGTATTTATTTGTTGCGTACCAGGCATTAAGTGGTACACAATTTAATATGGTACGTTTGTTGAATGTTGTGCCAGATTGTCTGTTTCGTATGCCGGCCATTATGGTAGTGCCGGTAACCACGTGGTCATTATCGATAGCCATAAGTGGGCGGTTGAATGAAATGCGTGTCGTATTGGAAAGAGATAGACGGCTGCACACAATGGCCAGAATAAGGATGGAATATATCAGGATTAGGGATACGATCAGTGATTTAGATAATGGGCTAAAATTAGTAATAAATTTTAAATTAAAATTATAAATTAAAAATATATTAAAATTTTTTGCATTTTGCGAGTAGGTTCAGTTGTTATCGACTACGGCGACCATGCTATTTGTTATGTTTGACATTTATCTCCTGCTAGTGATGTCTAATTTTAATTTCACCGAGTTCAAACAGATATTTCTATATTTTTTAACATATTCCCTGTTAATTATTAACGGCAATTGTCTCATCCATGGCCTGGTATACGACGAATCGGACCGACTATTTCGGGCCATAGACTCGATGGACACCGGGATGTCTGACAGCCGATCGGTGACAGAGACTGTGCTGTTTGTGTCGATGCGATCGGACGTGAAGTGCGGGTTCACTATCGCAGGTCTGATGCCATTCAGAAAGACTACACTCCTATCGGTTCAGTATTTATATTTTAAAACCTTTACATTTATAGGATTTTACAAATGTTTAAATTGATATTTTATCATGTTTATTATATAGATATACAGTCTTATTTTAACTTATACGATCATATTGTTTCAGACATCAACGCAGCAAATTAATCATGAAAGAAATAATACGCTTATATCTTAAATTATTGTTTTGATCAAATTGTTTTAAATTAATTTTGTTATGTTACATTAACATATATTTATAATTTTTATTGTTAATTAATATAGTTTTTACATTCAATTATTAATAATTTAAGTTATATATTTTAAAATAATAAATAAAACACAGTTCTGTTTAACATTTAAAAATTTTCAATCATTTTAATACTGTATTAAATGAATTATGAAATTTACAATTTTCCAAACATTAAAACTATGTATTATAGTAATACTTACAATTCATAAATATAATGTTTATAGATATTAGCAATTCTGTTGATTTACGTTAAATTTTATTTAACAATTTCATTTTATTCTAATTAATAATAGTGTTTTAATAATGAATTAATAATTTTTTGCAGTTATTTAAAAACATGCTGACAAATTAGGTAAAAAGGTCAAGTAAGAATTACATTGTTGAATTTAATTTCCACGTTTACCAGTCATTCCACCTCCATCCATGACACCGGTTTGAAACAATATCACACAATACGTTAGTATAAAACTGTAAATCTAAACAAACATGGTAAAAGGATAATATATTACTATACTTTAATAATGATATATGGACTATTCAGTAGATGACATAATTATTTATAGATTCAATTATTTTTAATTTAATTAAATTTATATAATATTATTTAATCAAAATTATTATTTACAGATAAAAGTGTAGTCTTTCTAAACGGCATAAACCCTCCGATAGTGAACCCGATTGTGACCGGAGTTGTGACCAACGATTTAAACAGCAATACTTCCCGAAAATCTTGTTCACTGTATTTAGCATTCATTATATCCAATGAGTCCAATACTGACAACAATTTCTCCGATTCTTGATATACGAAACCATTGATAAGACAGTCGGCGTTGAGTTTAACGATACAACCGATTACTACAAATACCATCATCTCATTGAACCGATTGTACTCTTTAATGTTTTGTGATGTGATTATCACATAGATCTGTATCATCACAAATACCATATAGCCTAAAGTTGATAGTGTTTGTACCTGTTTGATTTATTTAATTATAATTACACAAAACATTGTATATAAACTAAAAATATATATTTTACAAATAACAATTATCTTGCTAGAATATAAATATACTATTAAATACCAATTTAAGCGATTGGTCTAGGTGCGAAATAGCCGCTCTGACCTCTACATACGCCTGTCTGATCCGATATATTGTCTCGCCACTTTGATCATGCTCCAATTTCATTCGCCAAATCACCATTCGCTCGGCCACCGCTATCGAAATGCACCAGGTGAACACCGGAATCACCCACAACAATCTGTCCACAAACAGCTCTTCCTTAAATGCCATCACAACCTCCAGTACTGTCACGTGTTTTGCCAAAGATATTTGCCGATAAACCATTGCGAATGGTATAAATATGTGGATAATCCATAAAATACGTGCCGTAATTAATACCCGTTTATCTGACGTTAACAAAAAAATGTTTATGGATTAATTACTATAGATAGGAAATTGGTAAATTTATAAATTGTTTACTCATTATACGATAAAGCAGAAAATATTTGATAAGCTCGTAGCCGTGTAGCTGAATGTACCATGCTGACGCGATAACAATACACGCTTTGAGCATGTACGATACAATCAACGAATAATATATAAAATTAAAGCCGCTGTTTTTGAGCTGAATTACGTCCGGATAATCGAGCATCATATACGCGAACACCACGTACAATAATGTGTGTATAATACATGTTATATAACCAAGCACATTTAGCCACCATGAGCGTGTGAAATAGCCATCGACCACGGTGAAACCTCCGTACGTAATACCGAGTATACGATAGTATAGCATAACAAAAGCATAAATGAATGAGAATTTTTGTATTTTCCGCGAATTAATCGAAACATTTTGCTTGCGGTAATAATTAAACAATTTTACCATGGTAAAAATTTGCGTAAAAATGACCTTTTTTCAAAATAAAATGATTCGTTGACTTATAAGTTATGTACAATTAGTTTTATTAGATTTTAACAATGTTATATAATGTGTAATAAATTATTACTAATTATTAAGTATATTATAAATAAACGTACTTAACAAGGCCAACTGAGATTGTGAGTCTTGTGATTGAGTTCATTAATTTTTATTAAATCTGATGTTGTTAGCAACGATGCATTACCATGTTTTTATGAGCATTCAAAAGTAAATATATTTATTACAATTTTATTACTATAAATAACCTTAATTTATGATTAAGTTTTATGAAGTGTTTAACAAAATTTAACTTGGTTGTTTACTAAAACTTGTAATATTTGTACAAATTGTACTAAAACGATTAAATAAATATTTAAATAAACGCAAAACAACTGCAATTAGTTAATTTAACTTAAGATTATTTATGCCGATTAAATAAAGTAAATTAAATTAGATTTTATAAAGTAAAATTAGTTGTTGAACCATGTTTGTACTCCATGACACCAGTTTGAAATAGTATCACACAATAGGTCAGAATAAAACTATAAATCTATCATGACATAATAAGAAACAAATGAAATTAATTATAATGTTTATATTTGTTAATTAGTAACACGATTATATTTAAGTAAACCAAACTCACCGCCAATAGAGTAGTCTTTCTAAACGGCATAAACCCTCCGATAGTAAACCCGATATTCTCCCGACTATTGGCCAACGATTTAAACACCAATACTTCCCGAAAGTCCCGTTCGCTGTAATTCCTGTCCATTATATCCAATGAGTCCAATACTGACAACAATTTGTTGGACTCCTCATAGACTAAGCCATTGATCAGACAATTGGCGTTCAGTTTAATGAGACAATTGACCACTAAATAAGTCAATACTTCTGAAAATTTCTTAAACTCGGCGATTGTTTGGGCGCTGATTATTACATAGATCTGTATCATCACAAACCACACAATTCCCGACATGGATAATATCTGAACCTGGTCATTTTATTTATATAAATTACTCAGTTAAATCAGTTAGACATCATTTACATTGTTTTTTAATTAGTATTATTTACTTATAATTGTATGCAAATATAGTAAAAACTATACGGTATAAATGTAAGCAGCATTTTAATTGTCAAATAAAACATTTGGAATTTTACATGCAAAATATAATAATTATTATAAAATAAGTGAGTAAATATTATAAAACAAAGTTTACTAACAATTTTCATCGATTCATCCAGCTTGGCAATAACATCACGTGTTTCAACGTAGCTCTTTCTAATACGGCGTATAGTTTGCGGACTTTGATCATGCATCAACTTTGTACGCCATACTGCCAATCTCTCGCCAATTGATATAGATATAAGCCAGGTGAATACAGGTATGGCGTACAATATGGGAAAGTCAAACAAATTGTTACGAATGGACAAGAATATGCTTGCTTTGAAGGTGTAACGATCTCGGTAAAAAAAATAGAAATGGTAGTATAATATGACCAACCCATAACACTCTAAGTATGTTTCGTGTTTGTTTGCCTATTTCAATAGTTTGTAAAAATGTTAATAACTATTATCATTGATTTCTACTACACTGTATAGATATATCAATCTTATTTATGTACATTAAGTTTTTGTAAAATAATTTTATATAAAAAATACACCAAATTATAATTTTTAAAATTCTCTTATAAGTTAGTGTTAGTTATATAAAGACATTGACTTTAGATTAAAATTATATAGATTTACGTTTACACATTGAATTAGTTTTTAAATTATCATTAGTCATTTACAATTAACTATAACTTATTGTAAAAAGTTGAGTTAACATTTTCTGTAAAATTAACCTTATTTTCATAATTTAATTCTAATATCTAACCAGTCAACATAATCTGTCCACTTTGCTTTTGTGATTACAGCTAAACTAGAAGAGCTAGATCAAATCTGTAAAAAGTAAAATGAAGATCCACATGTCTAGATTTTTTTATCAAAAAATTATTAAAATCACGTGACTACAACACAGAAATTTTTGGGTCAAATCGATTTGCCATGTTTTTTGCCCACCTCGAGGGGG